CGTTGTAGATTCTGTGGGTCTGGAGAAGGGTTCCGTCTGGGTTCCTTGAAGTACGTTGTTGAGTTTCTACAGGGGTGTGGGGTACCAGGGTCACTTTAAAGACCTCAGCCCAAAGTTTAGCTCGTTCTCAGTTAGACKTGGTCTTGGCTGTCCCTGCTCTGAGCAATAAAACTGAGTCCATGAGTCTAACAGGAACCACGATGGGTAAAATTAATAAAGTCAGAGAAGAAAACTTTGTAATCCACTCTGAGGTTTTATAATTGATTAGTCCAGTTAAATACTGGCTCTTTTTAAGGGTTTTTTTTTTCTGTAAGTCGTGGTCTGCTGTTTCCCCCCTGCAGTACCTGGTTCAGGTCAGTTACCCTAAACCCTATGGGCTGAGGGGACCAAGACTGACTGGCAGTRGACCCAGTCTCCCCTCAGAGCTTCRTGATCTGAACTACTGTATCAGGGGCTAAWGTGTGAAAACACTGAAAATAAACATGCAAAGTTCATTWCAGGTTTTATCTCATCATAACATCAGTAATCATTTTTAAACTTCATTTGATTTCTGCTCTTCCACACATGGTGTCGTGTTTGTGGAGTAGAACAGAGTAAGGTCCATCAGAGACGGGAAGTAGAAAAATTAAGAGAAAATAAATAGAAATTCTGAAGGACTCAGCTGCTGCCCGAAACATCTGACAGAACTTTGTAAAACTCCCAGCTCAGGAAAAAATCTCTACAGTTTGTATGTAAAGCTGTACAAAAAATTAAGGAGAGCCACAAAAATGTCAAAGCTGCTTCCAGTGGCTCTATAGGGTCGCCATGATAACCTGTCTGTCACTCCCTCAAACAGCTGTGTGATAACAAGTCAAATCTTTAAACTTTTTAACCTGAGACCTGAAGTTTCTTCAAGTCAAACACCGGCTGATGTCTTTGGTTTGTATGTTCTCTATGAAGTATACAAGCTGTAAAGAGCTTTCACTTCCAGTTCTGAAGAAAATGTTTTCAGATGAATTATTATGGAAGACTGGAAGTTAAGAGAACTGGGAGGAAAACACAAAAACATCTCATTTTTTATGTGAAAGGGACCTAAAAGAGCTGAGTGATTTGTTTGAAAATGTAAAACAATATAAAGATTAGTGATCATCATAAACTGTCAGTAAAATATTCTGTGGAAAAATAAGGTAAAATCCTAAAACCTAAACTGTTTATTTAGTCATGAAAAGTTCAACTTGGGGAACCTTTGATTCAGTCTGAGCTCAAACAGATTTTCACCAAAAATCCTTTATTTCTCTTCCAGCTTGTCTGAATGAGTTTTGTTTAGGTTGTGCATTGTATCGTTCCCACAAGTCATGACATGTTCCTGCTGACGGAGCTGTGTGTTCTGGTGTAAAACTGGTGTGTTAACTTCAGGTTCTTTAATCCAGCCTGAAAAATCAACAAGAACTAACTGTTAGCTACTCACATGCTGTTTCTGAAGAGTTCTTTCAGCTGCAGCTCATAATCTCAGAGGTTGAAGCGGCTCGTGTTTCAGCAGTTTTCCCTCGTTTCTACCTTCATCCCCCTGAACCGGACCGAACAGAACCCTGACATGTCTGTGGTTCTGTGTGTGCTGCTTCCTCTTTGCTGCTAGCAGCAGTTGCGCCCTGGGCTGTGAGTAGGAAGTGAAAATATTCCCTGTCTGAGGCCGATGGTGAAAAGAGCCAGCCCCTTTAAAGAAGGTCCTGCCTGCTGAGAGCAGGATTGTTCCTCCTCACATCTGGAATGTCAGGGAACAACAGCAGGAAGGACTCAGAGCCCCGAGCAGAAACTCACCTGCTCAACATGTGGACTCAGCAGGAAGGTTTCTGTGATCTGACCCAACAGAAACAACACATCATGTGTCTCTATCAGTTCACTGTTCAGAACATCAGCTCATAAAACAACCAGAGCACTGGGCAGCAACTTAAACTACAGTCCCAATCTTAACTCATAAATTATAAAACTTTCACACAGCACATTATGAAATGTCAGGTCCAGATCCACAGGCTCTCTGCTGAGGCGGAGGTAAACCCAGGCTGGAACTTTTCACCTGAATTAGAAAGAAAAWGTCATTTTAAGACATTTCTTTTTCATGAGAAGCTGCAGGTTTTATGCTTGTAAATATTTACTAAAACTAAAGAAAACCACACAAAAACATGATGGGAAAAAAAGGACACAAACTTTAAAATAAAGTTTTAAACAATTTTCACGTGTGTAGAATCTGCATGTTTTTATATGTATGTGTTTTAGATGTGGACAATAAAGAGACTGCTGAGTTAAAGGCTGACCTGAACTGAGCTGTGACACATTTCCTGCAGAAATTTCACAGAATTTCTGCTGAAGTGTAACGGTTTAAATATGATGGTTTGCACAAACTGATGTGAAACTTGGAGACATGRTTCTAACTTAGTTCAGACAAACCATTTCCTCATCAGTCCTGTCACAATTAAACTTATTCTATAAAATTGTCTTTCACAGAGTATTAAACAGTCATAACACTCTCACAGAACCTCACTCAAAATGGCTTAAATATCTTTTTACAGCAATAAACTGAAACAATTTATTCAAATAAAAATATAAATACTGATTTGTGTAAATCAAGATTTAAACGCTCTAAGTGCAAGGTGGACCGGTTCTTGTCACTGGCCCATCAGACTGGAATAGTCTTCTGTATGAGTTGTGTCACCTCTCAAAGCCAAACTTAAGACCTATTTAAAAAGCCTTTGATGTTTTATTTTTAGTATTTTTACCTTCCTTCCTTTACTGTGGTTGTGTTTTTAACTCGCTCTAATGTAGCGTGCCGTGTTTTATTGTTTGAAGCAGTTTGGTCAACGCAAGGCATTGTTGGAAGATATTATATAAATAAAGTTTATGATGGATGGATGGATGGATGGATGGATGGATGGATGGATGGATGGATGGATGGATAGATAGATGCTGAAAATTGAGTTGTTTATATAACACATACCCAATCACAATATAACCGTTTTACATAATTCTTTTTATAAAAATGCACATTTATAAATATTCATATACACCATTATAATTACCCTTATAATAACATCTTCATAACCCAACCATTATGTGCACATTTATACACAGTCACACATAGATAACTTTACGAATGTTTTTCATTTTATATCTTCATTCTAACTGACTCAGGTTTGGTTTGTGAGYTGAAAGCAGCGTGTGTGAACAGCTGAGGCAGTTTGGACTCTGCAGAGGGTCCGTGTTGCTCTCTGCTGGTGAAGAGTGGAGATGTTTCAGTTTTCGTGTGTTTTGTCCTCTGTTGTGTGTCCAGTTGCTCAAAGTGAAAGGATGATCATGTTTCTTGTATATCTATCTATCTGCATTGTTTATCTTGTGTAAATGTCAGCTTGTGTTTTGTTTCATACTTGCGTTAACCTGGACAGACTGCCCAGCAGCTGCAGATCCACTACTGAAGTCCTGACGTTGGTCAGACCAACAGGACTCAGCTGTTCTCAGCTCTGGTTCCTTCAGTCTGCTTGTATGTGGAACAGCTCTTTGTACTAAATACTTTACTTGTGCACAACACAAGTGTGTTTTGTCTCTTTATGTTTGAACTAAAACAGTTTTACCAGATAAAATGAAAGCTGGAGCTCTACAGTAGTGTGGATGTAACTCTTCTGGGGTAAGCTGGGGGAACCAGCATCTTTCAGATGTAAAAGCTGAGCATCACTTCTTGTACTAATATAAGAATCAAAAGAATCAAGAAATAAATCAGTTACAGAAAGAAAAATGCCTCCTATGTTGAATTGTCACCTTATCGAAGAGTTTTGCACCTGAATGATCTTAGCCCCTGTAAAAATCACCCCTGCAGGGTCTCCCATTACGGATTAGTTTTAGGTGACAGGCCAGACAAATAACGATTCAAAAGACTTTTATAGACGAACAACAAGGAGCTCACTCAGTGTTCCTTTGCCTGGACGTGAGTTAGTAGGGGCTCACCCTGGAGCCAGCCCTGGGAGAGGGGCTCCTCGCTGAGTGTCTGGTGGACAGATCTCTACCAGGGTTCAGTCAAGCTCAGCCTGAATGAGCTACATGGGTCTGTCTTCCTGTGGGCCCACCACCTGTAGGAGGGGCCATACGAGTTGGGTGCATGAAGTCATGAGTGGTGGCCGAAGGCAGGGACCTTGGCTCTCTGACCCTGGCCTACCAAAACTGGCTCTTGGGAGTTGGAACGTCACCTCTGTGGTGGGGAAGGAGCCTCAATGTGGAGGTACCAGCTAGATATACTTGGGCTCACCTCAACGCACAGCATGGGCTCCAGAACCAATCTCCTTGAGAGAGATGGATCTCAATTCTCTTCTTCATCAGCTCCCAGCAGGTACACAGCATGGCCTTGGGCCTTATCAGGAAAGCAAAACAAAACAGAGGCCACACTGTCCCAGGCCAATCGAATGGAGAGACTGCAAACTCAGTAACTAACAAACTGATTGACTCAATAATAGTGATGAATCCACTTCCTGACCTGCAGGTRGTWATGTTCTAACCAGATGTTACATTTTAACGTAACAAACTTTGTTTATGAAGAATGATCTTATATGATAAGACTCATTCTCTGTTTTAAACCACATGGCTGCAATGATCACAAAGTGTAACAATCCAATACTGGATCTCAGAGCTTTGTAGTAACTAAGTACATTTACAGTACTGTTTTTTTTTTAGGATTTGTAATTTTACAAATTATCTTTTTAAATAGCTACTTTTACTTTTAATTCATTACATTTTAAAGCTAAAAATGATACTTTTCCTTCTTTACATTGAAATGTAACACCTAGTCACTCGTTACAAAATTAATATGTTTGAACTCATCATGAAAGATGTTTCTGCACTCTAAAACAATGAAGTGTTGAATTTACTCAACAAAGTCAGATCAACTGGCTCCACTAAACCTAGTTAAGTAAACTGAGCAAATAATATACATTTATTGCTCATTTTACTCAACCTGGTTTAGTGGAACCAGTTTGGTTCAGTAAATTCAACAGTTTATTTCTTAGAGAGTGTGTAAATATACTTTTACTTTCCCAATTTTTGTGAGCAGATTTACGACTTTTACTTGAGTAGTTTTCTCATCAGTGAAAGTTTTTTTTTATCAGTCATTTTCTGTTCATGTAATTTTACTTTTACTTAGTTATTTTTTCAAGGACTTTATAGACCTCTGCTGGATCTAACATTCAGTTAATCAGACACAAAATGTCTTTCAATTCCTTCTCTTTGACATACAAGTTATGTCAAATAAGACCCATATGAAAACTTTTCTTCATAAACATGTAACATTTGTTTAACACAAGAGGATATTTCTAAATATTTCCCAACCCCAGAAATTCTATTTTTATTCCTCCCAGTTAAAATAGTTCTCCTTAGGATAAGACCTCATAATTCTCTCTTTCCACTCCTGCAAATCCTCCTTTAAGCCTATTTCCACCTTAAGGAACACTGGAGGGCAGTAAAGTGAGGAGTTTTATGGGGAAATCTGACAGTCTTTCTTCTCAAGGTTTGACTAAAATAGATTAAACTCCATCTGTTCTCTACATGAGATGATCTTATTTTAAAAACTCTTGGCATGCAAAAGGTCAACAATATGCATTGCTTTAACAATCTTTAATTTAAAAGAATTATTATTCTATATTTGATATCAATAATCTTGAGTATGTTGTGGTCCATTAATAATCAAACTGAAAATCTATTTCAAGTTCAGGCTTTAAGGTATCAAAATAAAAAAATCAAGCATAACTAAATACTTTTGCATTGCACTTTATTTATGTTCACATAAAGGAAATAAAAATAGGAAAAGTGGTTTAATAGTTTTATTAATCTGAAATTATTTTTTTTACAAAATAAGAAAACACAGACTGCAAAGACCTTTTTAAAAGCTAATCATAAATTTTTCAGAGTCACATAAAATCTTAGCCGTCGCTTCTTCACAGTTTCAAAATCCAAATATCTTTTTATAGTCAAAAAGATAAGATAATAATCCAAACAGCTGTGTGCTGGTCAGGTCTTTCACATCAATACAGCATGTCATCAAACATGTTCGGTCATAAAAAAGGACTTGTTATAGTTTTTGTTCAGAGTATTTTATTGTTAAATGATCAGACCTGTGCTCCATTTACACACTGTGAGAACTAAACGATACAACACAGATGTATATTTACAGAGCCATTATAATAAAACCAAAAATAATAATAAAAATTATCCAGTCATATGAAATTATGACTCAGTTAACATAACAATGAAAGAGTGCAGATTTTCTTTTGTTTTCTTTGAGCAAACTGAAGAAGTAGGTGAAGACACTGCAGTGCAGAATACAGTTTTAGAAGCTGTGCACAGAAACAGGCAGCTGATGACTCACTGGTTTATTAGCACACGCTCAGAATTCAACGACACTGCAACATAAAAGTCACAGTTTTTATAAGTTCAGTCCAGTCAGAGACCTTACTTTAACAGGCTGGGAGTCGTTCTTACGATGGATTAACTGATACTRCATCCAACACAAACACTCAAGTGTCTGCTGGAGACTGATGGCTTCTAAAGAAGGCATCAGCTGATGCCAGGAGACGTGTTGCTTCTTGTTTCCTCAGCTTGAAAGAGAATATTAAATTTATGAYCTAAGAGTTAATGAGACACATTTATGTCTGTTTGCTGCTGCTATGCAGACACACTATGACAGACTGTGAGACGTGCAGGCCTGGCACAGGAGAGGAGTATATTAGTGATGTCTCCTTGTTAACCACTTATGTCACTTTCATAATCCATTTTGACTAATAGGCTGACATGATCTATCTGCTGCTGTTTTATTGTGGACTCCATGGGTAACTCTATCCACTCAAGACCTGCAGTCACTCGGCTCTTCCTCTAAAATAGTAAGTTAAATATATCCTGGGTGTGTGGCAGCTTTGACAACAGCCTGGTTAATCTCCATCAAATCAACTTCTCATTCTGTCTGAAAAAAAGACAAGATTTTTTTTGATAAATGTTGACAAATTGAACTTTATTTGTAGTTTTAAAAATGGACTGTTCCCTTTTCAGGGGTCTCCGCATCTAGTCCTCTGTCCACAGCCCTGTCCCTCAGCTGGACTCAGGGTGACTCAGGTTGATTTGGCTCAGCTTCAGAATCAGGAACTCCCTGTTCCTGGACAGTGGACCCTAAGTCTTTGAAGTCCAGGACCTTTGTGACCTCTGCTCCTCGTACCCTCACTGTTCCACCTGTCTCCCTTTCAGTCACACACCTGGGCTTGGTCCACCTCTCCAAGTTCTTTTCCACCTGTTCCCTATTCTCACCACAAGTCAGTGTACACCGCAAACATCRTAGTCCACAAGGGTTCCTGCCTGTCCTCATCTGTTAGTCTGTCCATCACCAGACCTCATTCATGTCTTACTGTCCTCGTACATGCTCTACTGACAATAATAAAACTGTCCAGATGTCGTGTGTGGACAAAGTGGTGGAATTTCATGTCCACAAAAAACTTCTAAAGAGGCTGAATTAGACTGAAACACAAAAGTCAGTGGGTGATAAACAGAGGTGTCAAAAGTATTCACATTCATTACTTAAGTAGAAGTATAGATACTAGGGTTTAAAAATACCTTTTTGGAAATAGAAGTATCAACTTGAGCTCTTTACTCAAGTAAAAGTATAAAAGTGCTGGTATTAAAACTAAAAGTATAAAAGTAAAAGTAATGAACACTATAAAAAAGACCATTAAAGATAAAATCTTAGGCTGTGCCTCAGGGTTTATAGCACCCCTCCCCACAACATACACACACACAATTTTTCTTGTAAAGTCAATAATGAGTATAATGTTAAATTAAAATGTTGACAAATTTAGAATTAACTGACCAGACTTAACCTGGTAAGGGAAACTAAAATTGAGCAGAACTGTGTGGGAAGGCAAGGGCCAGACTAGACGACTTGTTTCAGCCACAGTCATCTTCATACTAGGCTACATCTTCTACCTCAGTGGTTCCCAACCTTTTTAGACTTGTTTACCCCAAGCCATGCTGGGGTGACTGTTTATTAAATGAAAATTATTTATTCAACCCCATAGAACATTTAATTCTCAGGCATTTTATTCTTTTCAAAGGAAGATTAAAGGC